AAAAAATATTCTATTTCTATTATAGTTAAAATCTGATTATTAATATATTATTAACTATCTCCGGATTACTGTTAGATCTGAATAAAATCTTTTAAATATTAAAGACTCTTACCAGCAGCTAAAATATTTAAAAAACTTAAGATATATTTAGATATTAAAAATATATAACTTATAAAAATATTTTTAAATAAACTAATATTATTCTAAATATTATAAAATATACTAATATTCTTACTTACTAAAAGTTCTATTATAATTAGTTTTTTATTCTTTACTAGATAGCTAGAGATTTTCTTTTAATTACTACTAATAGTATTAATATTAAATATTTATTTTATAATTCTTAAAATATCTGCTACTATTACCGGAGCTGTTTTTATACTAATATAATTAAAATAATAATACTTTAAATATATACCAATTGTTTTACTATTAATAAAAAGAATTAAAATATTTTTAATAATCTTAATCCAGATTTAATTATCTTTATACCTAAAAAGTAAGAGAAGAATAAGATAATTATTATTTATTATATTAATAAAAATAAAAATATAGATAATCTTAAAAATAATCTAAAAAATAGATTATTATTAAAAATAGAAAAGCTAGCTTTATCTAAATTTTTAAATATTATATATATTTAAATAAAAATAGAGATCTGGTTTTCTTAATTTTTCTGTTATTATAATTACCGTTTTAAACAGTATAAAAAGTAATATAATCTTATTAGTTTATTTAATATTAGATACTATTTTTTTATACTAGATTTTATAAATTTTTCTTTTAAAGTATAGTATACTTCTTAGCTTTATAAAAAAAAAGATCGAATAAATCAAATAAATTAAATAGATTAAATAAGTTAAACAGATTAAATAAGTCAAGCAGATAAGATAAAAAATTAGAATTATACTATAATATTAAATAAATAAGCTAAATCTAAAGAATATTATTATATTATAATTAAAAGTATATTATACTTTATATATTATTTATATAAAAAATATATATATATTATTAATTAATCTGTAGTTATTAATCTATTTATTATATCTAACTTTTCTAACCGGCAGGTATAAACGGTTAAAATAATATTTATATTTTAATCTAATTATAACTGTATAGTTAAAATTTTTTTGTATTTTAATCTGACCGCTAGGTTATGGCCAGGTTAAGATTAAGATATAACGGTCAGGTTAATCCACTCTAAACCAGGCGCCAGCCCGCTCTATGACATTACTAAAGATATTTTTAGATAAATTAATTAATAATATAATAGTAAAATATAAAGTAGTAATCAACACCGCAGGTGGTTATATAAAGTATTAATAATTATATATACAGTAGAATTTAAAGGATTCGAATCCCTGCACCTTCCCACTGTACTAACAAAATTACCAGGGTCAACCGGAGTATGTTTAGATTCGGGATAGGTCAGGTCACGTGATTGGGTGGCGCCCTTACGCTCGATCTCCTGCTGAGCGGTCAACTCCTGAGCTGACCACCCACAGCGTTTGGGTGTTATGTGTATTGACTCACGGAATTGTGTAGTAAACCCCAGTGACTAAGTGACTAAGGTAGACACCGCTGTGGCTTGGAACTATTGATGGCTAGGGCAGCCGCCATTCCAATTGCGGAGTTAGTTCTTCGTGTTGAAAAATACCAAAAATACCCAGACTACAAACATACCCAGCAATACAGTGCGTCGCGCGGAGCAATCGGAATTGGACAAACAAAGTCCCCCCACTACAAGAACAAATTTTCTCTACCAAACAATAACGGACTTTTTGTTCTTTCAGTTGTTGTTAAGTTACATTGTTCTTGTCGGGAATTCTTGATCATGCTCCCCAAAGCCGTTGAGGTGGTCAAGGTCTCTAGGACAGTGGCCCGAGTCTCGGATCTTTCTTTCCATTCTAGCCTTCTAGCCAACGGCTTCGGCCGGAAAGACAGTCATGCACCTGCCAGCTGGCCAAGCATATGTGGTAAACACACTGGCACTGCACTGCACTGCACTGCACTACTGGAACCAATCGGCTGGGCCCAGCTGAATACGGTGGGTGGATCGGTGTGCTGCCAGTGGAAGTTGACGGGCAGTGAACTCAGCCAGCCACAATTGCCAGCACAGCACCACGCAGCAGTTCGTGCTGTCTTGTTTAAGATTAGCACAACCCCACTGCTGTCAGCCATGCCTCGCTTATTCCGCCCGCGAGATCTAGACTGGGCAGAGTCGGCCGCCCACTCGGATGCATGATTTTTATTTATGATATCGAAAGAGCCAGCAGGCTGCCACTGACTCGCTTCTCTTCCTCCCACTCCTCGAATTTTATCCTTTCTTCTGGTCCCTCCCCTTTGTTCTTGCTTCCAAGTTTCGATTGCATGATCGCCATTTGTAGCTGTAATCCGGTACATAGACGACCTACAACCACGACCAGTATGGAGGCGGCTCCTGCCAAGATGACCGGGTATACTCCCGCCGAGGTCGATCTTCCTCCGGTACCTACGACGCAGGTTCTGACCGATCTCCATTGGGAGACCATGCTGGCCCTCGCCGACACAGTGATCCCGTCGATCCGTGGTCGTGGCGATGATGCGGAGGTCTCGTCAACCAAGTACCACGCTGTCACTGAGACCCAGCTAGAATCGGCGACTTCCAGACTCACGGCCACGATCAGTCGAACAGCCTCTCCAGCAGCCGAGGTAGCCCGGATCTATCTGCAGGAGAGTCCATCGTCTCTGCCGGCCTTCCGCGAGGGCCTCCAGCGCCTGATTGCGGACTACGTCCATCAGGAAGGCCAGACGGGGCTGCGATTCATCCTCGACGTTTTGAAGTAGGTGGCTGGAGAATCGATACATGCACATGGGCTAACAATCAGTCGGGCCTGGCCAGCACCCGAGCCGGATCCCTGCTTCTGACCGGGTCAACGACCCCCCTCCAGAACCAACCCCTGGCAGTGCGCGAGCAGGTTTTCGCCGGATGGGCCTCGTCGCGATTAAGCCCCATCCGCCTCATCTACCGGTCGCTCTCCGCCATGTTCAAGACCACCTGGATGGTGGCCAGCCCGACCCTGTCCACCGCCGTGGGCTTCCCCCGAGTCCCCGTGCATGGCAAGTCCGCGCCGGGTTGCTGGGAGTACGAATTTGTCCAGTTTCCTCCGAGCGACCATGACGAGGAGAACGAGACGGAGCAACCGGAAGTCCTCGAGACGGACGTGGTCGTCATCGGCAGTGGCTGCGGCGGTGCGGTGGCGGCGAAGAACCTGGCCGAAGCCGGGCACCGCGTGCTGGTGGTCGAGAAGGCGTACCACTACCCCTCGCAGTACTTCCCCATGGACGGCCGGACCGCCCCCGTCAGCCTGTTCGAGGGCGGGGCGTCGATTCTCACGGATGATGCCTCGGTGGCCATCTTTGCTGGATCGACGTGGGGTGGCGGGGGCACCGTCAACTGGTCGGCGGCGCTGCAGACGCAGGCCTTTGTCCGCCAGGAGTGGGCCGAGGACGGGGGCTTGCCCTTGTTCACTTCCGCCGCCTTTCAACAGTCGCTGGACCGCGTCGCTGCTCGCATGGGCGTCAGCGCGGCCCACATTCGGCACAATCGCCAGAACCGCGATCTCCTCGAGGGAGCACGCAAACTGGGCTATGCGGCCGAGGTGGTGCCGCAGAACACGGGCGGCGAGGAGCACTACTGTGGATATTGTACCATGGGATGCTCCGCCGCAGCCAAGAAGGGTCCCACGGAGACCTGGCTGGCGGACGCAGCCAAGGCTGGGGCGGTCTTCGTCGAAGGCTTCAAGGCAGATAAAGTCACCTTCACCACCCGGGGCAAAGAAAGAATCGCCACCGGAGTGGAAGGGACTTGGACCTCCCGCGAGGCGTATCTGTCCCGGGCCCAGAGGGGGCAGGGGATCACCCGAAAGGTGGTCATCAAGGCCAAGAAAGTGATCGTCTCTTGCGGTACACTGAACAGCCCTCTGCTGCTTCTCCGCAGTGGGGTACAGAATTGGCATATCGGCCGGAATCTTCACATTCACCCAGGTAAGCCAACTGCAACCGTCCCGTCAGGCCACCAGGACCTAACACCTCATCCTCCTCATCGGCAGTTCTCTTCGGTGCGGCCGTGTTTGACGAGGAAATCCGACCCTGGGAGGGCTCGGCCCTGACGGCAGTCGTCAGGGAGTTTGAGAATCTCGATGGCCGGGGCCACGGGGCAAAGATCGAAACCACGGTCACCATGCCGCCGCTGTTCCTGCCCATTTTTCCCTGGCGGAAGGGCCTCGACTACAAACTGTTCTGTGCCAAATTGAGCGCCATGACCAGTTATATTGCCGTCACCCGGGACCGTGATTCCGGCCGCGTCTATCCCGACCCCGTCGACGGTCGCATCCGCGTGGCCTACACCCCCTCCGCATTTGACCGGAAGAGTGCCGTGGAGGCAATGATCGCCAGTGCGAAGATCGCTTATGTCTCGGGCGCCAAAGAATTCCACGTCTCGTACGCGGATATGCCCCCATTTTGCCGATCGGAACAGGAGAAGAACGACCCCGACGAGGAGGGGATCAACAATCCGGAGCTGCAGCAATGGATCACGCGATTCCGCCAGCAATCTCCCCTGGACATTGAGAAGGCCGGCTATGCCAGTGCCCACCAGATGGGAACCTGTCGCATGGCGAGCACGGCGAGTAAGGGGGTGGTGGATCCGGAATGCCAGGTCTGGGGTACGCAGGGGCTCTATGTCATGGATGCATCGATCTTCCCCAGTGCAAGCGGCGTGAATCCCATGATCACCAATATGGCCATTGCGGACTGGGCCAGTCGAAAACTGTCGAAAAGATTGAGGGACGGTTGCTAGCCTGCCGTGCTAATCATATACGCCCTACGTCGATTCAATACAGTCTACACCACCTGCCCACATGGTACGATCATGGTCTTGCATCTGATATGCCTCCCGAGCGTCTGCTTTTCCATCAAATTTGGAGTTTTGAGACAGTGTCCTTTCATCTATCTATTCAAATAAATGGTTAACGCTAGGTTTACCGCCCTTGGAGCGATCGTAGTGCGTTTCTTTCTTCTTTTTCTTTTTGCGGGGGGGATTAACTAATCGCACAAAGGAGGTGGAATCAAGAGGACTATGCCCGGTGAAGATACATCAGCCTCACCAGATAAATGCCGCCCGTATGTCATGGATCTGCCGGGTGGCTACGAAAGCCCACAGAACCGACGGAGATGATATCGATTCTGTTCACAAGAGCGTCTCCTTACCCCAGAATCAGGTCCCGGTCGCAGCTGTCAGATTCTGGACTCCGAGCAGTTTGCAGAGTACCTGTGTGCGGTAAGTATCGTTACAGCATGCGGCGAGACTGAGGATCGGGCCGGGACAAATGGTCATGTTCTGGATATACCAGAGATGGGCGGCCGGCTTTGGTCCGTCCCGAAGGCGATACTGCAGGTTGCCTTCTGTATTATTGATGCCCTCCAATTCTTGAATGGAACTTGCATTTGGCGTCACATAGGAGGGAGTGGTGATCCAATACTCGGGAGACAGCTGACTATAGTCGGGGATGAACCACATCCAGGCCGCGTCGTATAGGATCCGGGGAACGATATCATCGGAATGGGTGAGTCGGTAGGTCACTCCGCTGCTTTGATTGCTGATGAACTCGGACAGCTCGAAGTTGCCCACCGAGGGTGATGCATAGCTGTACGGTTGTTTGGCTCTCAGCTCTCCGCAGCAGCTCTGATTAATCACCGGCCAGGCTCACTTACCACGGTGACATGAGGGCCGTGCGTACGAAACTCGGCGGCTCCGACGGTGGCCAGCGCGGCCCCCAGACTGTGCCCTACGAAGACAACCTCGTACTCGCTGTACTGGGCCATCGCCCTCTCTACCGGTGGCAGCGTCACGTTTTTGGTGTTGATCCACGTCCTCCAAAACCCTTGGTGGATCTGACACCCCGAGCACGAGGCTGCCCCAAATGTCGTCACGTTGACGAAGTCATAGTCGAGGTCGACATCGACCTTCGGGCACGTGTTGGTGCCCCCGAATTGAAGAACGATGAGCTCGTTGGTGTGGTCTAGCGTCACAAAGCCGGACACTCCCTGGTTGTAGAGACTGTCGGTCGGGAGTTAGGATCTGGGTTCTCTCGACCAGGGCTTAGAACGACACCTTCTTACCTGGTGGAGTTGAATTCTGCGACCGTGGTGGTATTGGCGCTGGTCACATTGGGGCAATTGCCCGCACCGCAGTCGACGCCGTCGTGGCAGCCGGCCGCGTATTCGGCGAAGAAGCTAAACCGATCGAACAATTCCTGCGAAATGCCTGGCGAGGAGGTCAGCCACTGGAGTTGCCCGCGACAGGCAATGCGGGCTGCGGGCTGCCTGACCGTTCTGAGTGGACTCCTGCGCATTGTCGGCGACTGCTGTTCCCAGACAAGCCAGCAGAACACAAAGAGCAAAGGAGACAGCCATCTTGATGGTGTGGTCTCAGTAGGTGAGGGAGTATATACGGATCAATTTATCAATTTATCGATTTTCAGTTCGACGCCGGGGTTGGGACAGCAACCAAGCCTCGCTCTCCTTATATAGTTCCCTGGCACCCACCGCTTGAGAAAGAGTTGGGGCAAGACGTGGCCGACTCCCGTGCGTCATTGACTTGTCTCCTGAGAAAATGGAAATACTCTATTTGATGAAGAGACTAACATCATGTTGACAGGGTGACAGGGCTGACAAATAAGGTTATGCGGGCTGTGGGTACCAGACTTCACTTGATTCTGCTCCGCAGCAACAGCTTCGAACATCCAAAGTATGCCCACACTGACACCTGACATGGAATTGCCTCGATCAGGATGAACAGTGTAGGGACCAGGGTCTTCTCTTCCCCTTCCATTCACCGCCTTACAGTGCCAGCGCCAGACCAAGGATGCCTCCCACACTGGCAATGCGCATGGCCCAGCTTCCAGTAGCAACAGCTGCGCCCCCGGTCGAGACGGAGGTCTTCGATCGAGTGGAACTGGCCGTTGAAGGTGCGGATGAGGCAGAAGGCGAGCCTGCGGTGGAGTTTGGGTACCATCCAGTGGCCAGGGCGCTTTCGGAGGACAGCAGGGAGGCGTACATCGCTTCCTCACTGGAAAGGATAGCCCTGGCAGCAGTTGGCAGGTTGGAGTACCAGGCCGGCATACTCCCTGAACTCTCCGCGAGGATTTCCGATGAGAAGAATGCTGGGTCGGTCCTCATTCTCTCCCACCAACTCGTCGGCACAGCAGTCTCTAGAACCGACAGGCATCCGGTTAGTTGGATAGGGTGGATGGTACTCGTTACCGACTCAAAAGGAGGCGTGCTCGATGTTTCGCCTGGAACCGATCTAGTGACCCCAACCACAATGTCGGTCCCCGTTACGGCTTCGGTGGCGGTCACTGTTCTAACCGCGGGGGTAGCCAGCTGGGTTGTATCGGCGAGCGCAGTCAGAATGTTTGTGGCGCCGAGGAGGGCGAGGAGGTGGAAGTACATGATTGACCTTCCGAGAAAAAGTGCACCACGTGCTACTTTCAGGGGGGGGGGGCACCCCAGGTATTTGTGATGTGCGAAGTGGCTCGAAAGGGGGAAATTGTCCTGAAGTAGTGGTATGCACTGACAGCTAGTGGATAGCTAAGCAACACGAGGGGATGGCTAAGCGAAAGGTCCGTGAGCAAGCTAGTGGGTGCACAGCCCCCGTCCAGCTGTCATCTCATGTCATCCCACCGTCTTCGAGCTGCTATTTGAAGATTGGTTTGCATGGGGGCGCAGGTTAGCATACATTGCTGGCATATTCAGAGGAGAACTCGTTCATGCGGAGCGAGAGCCGTGACTATCTGGCCACGTGCTCCCTGCACCCCCATCTAAACTGGGAAATTACCAGAACATATCTCACTGTAGGGGCCAACTTTGCCAAGCCAGTAGCCAGCAACTCACCGATGGCGGAATTGATCGTTTGGTCGCGAACCACCCACTTGGGACGACCACCGCCAAGCAGCTCCTGCTCAAGGGGGGCCAAAGCTCGCGGCGAAAAGGGCGTCAGTTCGGAGGCCGGTCGATCGGTGGCAACCACAGCGGGGAGGCAGATCAGAATCAGATGTAGCATTCGTAATCCCGCGGATTGGCCCAGGGCGTCGTATGCGGCCGCCTCAATCGGATGCCGACGGTGCCGTTACACGCAGATCCGCAGCGCGCGCAGCATGTGCGAGGAGGTCTTGGGACTGGACTGCAACTGCGAGGTAAACAAGGTAACAAGGTAAACAAAGGTGGACGATGCAGTGTAAAGCGAGACGGGCACGTGACTGTACAAGCGGCGGGTAAGTCTTTACCCTACACACACACCCTCCATCCGCGGAGTAATGTCCAAGTCAGTATATCCAACCTGACAGAGTCTCGGGCTTCCTGTTAAATCCTGAGAAGAGACAATGCACTACGGTGTATGGGAGGGCTAAACACGTGAGGGCTACTCCACCATAGAAAAGAAACTGGTAAACACTATCACATTGTCTGTGCAATCATGACGCACAATTCACTTCAGACCCCCCTTGGTCTTCATCGCACTCTTCAACTTTCCAAGGTGGAAAATGGGCCATAGGAGAAGGTCCTTCTGTCGTCAGTTTTTCTTCCCGCTAGATGGAAGCATCGGCAACCGCGGAGAGACCTACCCAGACCGTGCGAAAGGCAAAACAGTCCATCAGCCAAACGAAGGTCGAGGTGTTCCCAACCCAGTACCATGCGGGCGGGCACGGTCGCAGTGACTGCTGCACCACCGACCGGGCATACACCATACGATCCGTAGTATCTGGTCGATTGGCCATCTGGTCAGTATGGTAGGAATGACCCGGAGCAGTACATGCTACATACTCGGGACACGTTGTACGTGGGCTCGGAACTCTTCCTGAAGCGGCGCATAGAATGAGGCTATGAACAAGGCGACCAGAATGTTAGTTTCGAAGATAAAAGAAGAAGAGGAGGGGAGATGGATTGGGTGAGCACGGACTCGGCGGAAGACTTCGGGAGGCATCGCGCGTCAGGATATTGGTGCCGATATTGCCAGATATAATCTAGACTTCGTCATTAGCATATCGCGGCTTATAGTCCAAGGTCGAGGTGACGCGGATCGGAAATATTACATTGATGACTCGAACGCTGTGCGACTGATTTAGCTTGGAAGATGATGGTAAAGATGGAGGGACGCAACAACGGACCCCAATGGACTCATCTCAACGCGAAGGGTATTGCCCCAGTGATGTAGCGCCGCCTTGCTGGCATTGTATGAAGCTGCAGGTTCAAGGTCAGCGACACCCTCCTCATGATAGATCTTCCCAGAGGACTCACAGCCATACATGTACGGCACAATCCCGCCGACCGATCCAATGTTCACCACACATCCTTGGGCTCGAATAAGCCAAGGATGAAAGGTATGGACCATGCGAATCGGGCCAAAGACATTAACGTCGAACATTTGTTGCACCTGGCTCACATCGGTGTCGATGGCAGTCATGGTATAGCCTGCATGCATGAGTACAGCCTTGACCAAGCGTAGATTTCCTCACGCTCACATATACCGCTGTCTGATGTTAGGGCTCAGTGCCACGAGATCAGCCAAACTAACCGGGATATTACTGCTTACGCATTGTTGACTAGAATGTCCAGTCGATCGCCGACCTTGGTCTCCACCGCTTTGCACAAGGCACGCACCGACTCATCCTTGGTCACGTCTAACTGAAAGCACTGGATGCCAACTGAGGTAAGATGCGCGTGAGATTCCGACGGTAGAACCGTGGCAAGCACTGTGCAACCGTGGGTCTGGTACTGGAGTGCCAATGCTTCGCCAATACCTCCCTTCCCGCAACTGGCGATGCCTCGGGTTAGCACACGGGGGCTCTTTATTCTTCGAGAGGGGAAACCAAAAACAAAAAAAAAAGAAAGAGATAAAAATGAAATCGATTTACCCTGTGATTAGAACGGTCACCATAATGGCTGATTCTAGTGTTGTGGATAACAGAAGGGGAGGCGAGGTACGGTAAGATAAAGCATCGATCTGACCAGTCTGACCGGGATTCCATCCTGCGTCTGACAGATAGCGAAATCAGCCATGGCCATCCTTTCTGCACGGAGAGTCAGACCGGTCGTCAGACATCGTGTATATCTACGACATCCCGATCAACGTTAGTTGGGAGGAAGATTGGAAACGAACCCAACACCACCAATTCGACAATCTCCACTCAGGATAGTTCGGGTCTGCCGCAGCGTAGATTCGCTCATCACCATCGCTCGCCGCAATGTCTTTCGAACACAACCCCAATGACCCCGTGGTAATTGTCGGCATGGGTGAGTGTCCAAATTACGGGTCTGAATGAACCCACAGCCTACGGCTAACACTTTTGATTCCAGCTTGTCGACTGCCCGGGGGGGTGTCCTCGCCTACCGACTTTTGGGAGATGCTGATCAACGAACGCTCGGGTCAATGCAATGTACCAAAGACCCGATTCAATGCAGACGGGTTCTTCCATCCCGAGGGTGATCGTGCTGGGGTGATGAACACCCGCGGAGGTTATTTTCTGCAGGAGGATGTGCGCCAGTTTGAGAACTCCTTCTTTGGGATCAACAACCTGGAGGCAACATACATGGATCCACAGCAACGAAAGTTGCTAGAGGTGGTCTACGAATGCTTCGAAAGCGCCGGAGTATCGCTCCAACAGGCGGCCGGGGCCGACATTGGAGTCTATGTCGGCAACTTCACGGTGGACTTCCAAACCATGCAAGCCCGAGATCCCGAGGCCTTGCACCGGTACAGTGCCACGGGCTCAGGGACGGCAATCTTGTCGAATCGACTAAGTTATATCTTCGATCTTCGTGGTCCTAGGTATGTGCAACCTCTTCACACCATACCAACCAGCACGGACGATCTAACGGATATGACAGTTTCACACTCGATACGGCATGCTCATCGTCCATCTATTGTCTCCACAGTGCAGTCACTGCGATCAAGGCGGGCGAATGCGAAGGCGCGGTGGTGGCTGGGGCTAACTTGATTATGGGCCCGGAGCAGCATCTCGGTACCATGAAGGGAGGGGTCTTGTCCCCAACCTCCACCTGCCATACCTTTGATGCCAGCGCTGACGGCTACGGACGTGCCGAGGGTGTCAGTGCCCTGTATATCAAACGCCTGTCGGCTGCCCTGAGAGATGGTGATCCCATCCGTGCGGTCATCCGCGGCAGTGCGGTAAATGCGTATGTTTGTTCTGTCGACATATGGTTAGGATTATCTGCTAACGAGCACAGAAATGGCAAAACCTCGGGGATCACTCAGCCCAGTATTGCGGGACAGGCCGAAGTTATCCGCAAAGCCTACCGCGTGGCTGGGATTGATGCACAAGACACCGAGTACGTCGAGTGCCACGGCACGGGCACTGCAGTCGGCGACCCCATGGAGGTGGAGGGTCTGAGTCGAGTTTTCGTGCGCAAAGGAAGGTCACCTTTGCTCATTGGTGCTGTAAGTCACTTCTTTTCTGTCTCCTTCTGCTTAATCCTTTATGTATGGGCTGACTCAAGAGGGTCTCTAAGAATAAAACCAATGTCGGCCACAGCGAGGCAGCCAGTGGGATCACCGCCGTGATCAAGGCGGTCCTTGCCTTTAAGCACAAAGCTATTCCTGCCACCATTGGCGTGGTCAACTTGAATCCAAAGTGTAAGTTTCGCCTAGCACACTGCTCGACGACGAACAGAAGCCAGTGAT